CTTACTGAAGTGAAAGTGTTGACTGGTGTCACTATCTCGCGAACGCGCCGGCGGATCTCCACCAAATTCAGGGGATCCCTTCAGCTCGAGGAACCCTCTCGAACGCCACCCTCCGCGCGTCGGTAGCCCCCCGGGATCGCTTGATCGGTCGGCGCCGGACCGCGAATTTAACCGCGGGTAACTCCCGAACCCCGGGGGCTATCCACGCAGGGGTGGTCTCATTCGAAAGAGGGCCTCTAGACGTACACTCCATTCACGTTCGAGAGGGTTCCCCCCCGAATTTGGTGCGGATTCGCCGCGCCGTTACGGAGATATGGCCGTTCAAAGTTTCAATGGTTTTCCTTTGACTTAAGCTTTAAAGCGTTTCATCCAGGTCGCCAGTAGCAAACAATGGAGCGCGCTCTGCTGGACAAACTAAGTAATTACACCATTTCAAGCATTTTATCTGCATTATATGTACTGTAAAAAAAAAATTTCATATCGGCAGCATATTTGCCGATACCGATATATCGGCGACAGGCTCATATTGGCCAATAATATCGGCAAAACGATTTATATATCGGTCGGGCTCTAATTGCGGTATTTTAAAAATTCATATCATAAAAAAAATAAACACCGGTATTCGGTATGAACCGGTATACCGCCCAGCACTAACTACACATATTGATATTTAACGGGTCACATCGATACATCGTATCATTAGACATTTGATCGATGTATTGATCCATCCATATCAATGGATTGTTACATCCCTATTGTTTACATAAAAATGTAGATTGGTCTAATTTGAATCCAAAATTAAGACTGATTACCTAAGTGCTAGTTGGTCAGACTAGTTCTTAAGGCTATATCATAGTAAGTTTATATAGTGCATATCTTCACCTCTGACATGAGGGTTTGATACTGTAATTCTGGTTTGATGTTGGACAGTCTGATTTAAACAGTCACTCACTTTCTCTGCTGCTGGTCAGAGGGACTCAGATAAACACTCATTCACTCATTTAGTGCAGTTCAACATAAACTGGTTATGGTAAAAACAAACCTGAAATCGATAATTAAACTTCTGGCTGCCTGCTCCAAATCACGAAAAAACACCTGCATAATGAGTTCATTTTCAGAAATTCTCAATCTTATATTTTTGAAAACAGAACGGGGAAATAGCCAGGAATCAAATGTTTTTCCATACTCTGCTTTCTTATTTCGATCCATACAGTAGTGTGCACTTCTAATGCTGAACTTCTGACCTTGACACCAAAGCCAGCACTGTTCACAACCTGCACACTGTGTGACCTCAAGAACCACACGATGCTGTTAGCATATGCTTTAGCAGAGCTACAGGAGAGCAGACAGCACTCGTCCTCTCGCCCTTCAAACATGAACTGACCGCTTATTACTCCAGACATGACTATATACTGAGCTCCTGGTCACATCCTTCAGTTCACTCAACTTCACGATCAACGTTTATCAAGACAAGACAACAAAAGTGGTATCACAAATATCACTCATATCATATCAATTCATAATTAAACTCATGTATAGGCACAATTACAATTTAGAGAAGCTATTTGCACTCCAACAGTCGAGTGGAAGCACACAGTTTTAGGACAGTGTTCATGATTCGTATCACTTCGGAGGTGTGAAAGGCACAGACGGATCGGATCGGATCGGTGTTTCTCAGAAGCATCGTTAGCCAAATATGGTCACAAGTTCTGCTGAATTCTATTAGCAACAACAGAACTTGAAACCATAGTGTTCTGCTTTTATGCGCCTGAATTTGGCACCACGAATACCATCCACATCACCAGATCTATATTTGTGAATCAATGCCACACAGAAGTCAATCGAAGCTACATTAATTTGAGTTGATCACGGACACGGTGCAGATACTTCCTGAATCTGATGTAAAGACGATGTAAAAGACAGACAGACGCACCTTTCTATAGACGGGGTCCACTGGCACCTCCACAGGCTTTGGGTCCGAATGAAGGACAGGCAGTTTCAAAAGAGCCAGCGAAATCAACGCCAAGCTCAGAAGAGCAAGAAGCAGCCTTCTGCTGGAGTAAAACAGGGTCCGTTACCTAAATGCACTCAAACTTACAGCATCACTCTCAGGTGAATTCATCCTTTAAGGGTTTCCAGGTAGGGAAGCATCCTAGTATTAGCATGTCCTCTGTTTACCTGGGTTGACAATGCCACTGTCTGACGGCTGTCCTCATGATAGCAGAGCACCAAAACCTCTCTTCACTTCTGCTGCCTTCAACAAGAAGCGCGCGCTTCCGCATGTGCTCGACTGCACCTTCAAAGCAGAAAAACCCAAGCTGTTCACTTACAATAGCACACAATGCAGTACTGAAACCACCAAGACAAAGTTCCTCCAAAGAGTGACTGTTTATCTGCACACTGCATAACTGATCTCTATTTTACCAGTTGATATTGTAAAGCTGCTTAGACACAATCTGCATTGTTAAACGCGCTGTATAAATAAAGGTGACTGCAGAAGTCACATACATGGTTGTTTATCCAGCACAAAAACCACCTACTGAAGCCGAAGCACTTTGAACTCACGGAGACTTTTAAGAACGGTAACGTTATTAACTGGCTACATTCTAATCAGCGGCTTTTTCGGTACATTTCAAACACCACTAAAAACACACAGTACACTGTTTAAGCCACATCATAAAGTAGTATGCTTTTGTTTACACCTGAAGGTGATTTAATAACTACAATAATAATCATGAGTGATCACCATTCTCACTTACTTTTAGCTTGGTGTTGTCATAATGATCTGCAAGCTGAACATAATAACTCGCCGCTGTCCATATCCTTCTTTTAACTCTTAACAATAGCGCGCGTGGGAATTTGCGGCCGCTGCGTCAGGAAACTGGGTCTTAATGTTACATCTGTATCTCTCGAGATGTTTCAACATTAAAGCCATATGAACAGCCCACCTTTCCAAGCCAGCCGTGCGTCGACGCTATTGCTCAATCAATCAGCTGAAGGAGCTTCAGGAGATATACACGACACACCTCGATGTGACTAAAGCGTATGGATGCAACTTATCGCTTCCTGCAGCGTTTAGACACGTTATTACCGAATTAATATGTATACAGCAAGCGGAGTGTTTTCGCCTCCTCCTCACACATTTCCAACACAAACACAACATCATGATCACATGCACGTGATTATAGCTGGATTACAGAAAGATGATGCACGCTCTCCGAATGCAACATATAAAATACGGTGTCAGTTTAATCAACTTTGTATACCCAGCCGGTATAACCACATTATTTGACATACATTATGAAACAACCGCAAAGCTTTCAGTGTGTAAACAATATAACGCACTAGATTGAACAGAAACTCGAGGCGCACGTGACAGACGTCAGTACCTGCATGCCACAGAGAGAGAGAGACGGCTGTTTCGCTTCTTATTCGCTCGGAGCTGATGGTATGTGCTGCTGCAGAACATAACTCTCTCTCTCTCTCTCTCTCTCTCACACACACACGCACACCTTCTTCTTCTTCTTCTTTGTGTTTAATGGCGGATGGCATACAACTTCTAGATCTCTACGAAGTATTGCCAGTCTCACTGCCTTACCAAGCAGTCTATTATCATTGCCTGTTGATTTTGTGTATGACTTCTTGCCCGTTTGATTCTACTTCTGATTATTGGATTTTCCCTCTGTTTTGGCTGCCGATTGGACTGATTGACTGTGTTTAGACTACTGCCTTTTTCTGACACTGATTCTGGATTGCCCTCTAAATAAACTTCTGCATATGGATTCTCACTCGGCTTCAGCCTCCTCATTACAATAATCCCGTGTCCTTTAAATAAAGCATTAAAAATGGAAAGTTTTTATCCCCTGATTTATTCCCCAAAATATTCATCAAATTAAGTTTTTCTTTATTTTCCTTGAGGACATCCATCAGTATCTTTCTTTCCTTTCCGTATCTTGGACACTTGATTATAACATGCTCTACATTTTCCTCCATATTACAATATTCACATTGTCCAGTTTCATGTCTCCCCATTCTCTTTAAACTGCTATTAAGAGCAGTATGGCCAAATCTAAGCCTTGAGATTATAGTTTCCTCATGTCTATTTCTTCCTGTTACTCTGTATTTACCAACAATTCTTTGAATGCTATAAAACCATCTCCCTGTTCTTTCTTCTTCCCAATATTTCTGCCATCTATTCTTCACATGTTGCTTGATTAAACACTTCATTTCACTCTTACCATACTTTATCTGCATATCTATGTCTACTTTCTTTGTTGCTTCCTTTGCATATTCGTCTGTCTCTCTCTCTCTCTCTCTCTCTCTCTCGGTGCATGCTGGGAGTTTGTGGGTGCGTGTGAGGGTGAACAAGGTGAGAGTGCATCTGATTGTTTTTTTTTCTTTTTCTTTTTTTCTCGCTTTTTTCGGGTGATAATGAAGAAGTAAGTGTATTAATTAGATTGGAGAGGTGAGCTAAAAGTTATTTTTGTAAGTTAGAAGGTGTGACGGAGACGAGATGGTGTCCCTTCCCGAGGAGGGTGCAGCGTCTCTCTCTCTCCATCATGGCGTCAGGTGTATGGCCGATCCTGGAGTAACTGTGGAAGATGTACTGTTGGCGGCTGGGGAGCAAATCGGGTATGAGAATATTTGCTCGGCATCCCGCATGAATAAGGCAGTGGTTATTTTCGTAAAAGAAGAAAACTTGGTTAATCATTTGATAAGCACCGGTGTTGAGGTAAGTAGCGCTTATATTACCGTTTCACCGCTGGTTACACCAACTACTAGAGTAACGATATCAAATGTGCCGCCATTCATTAAGAACGGTGAGATTGAACGAGCTCTTGCGAATTACGGAAAGTTTGCTAGTCCAATTAAAATGATTTCTCTTAGGTGTAAAAATGAGGCTTTGAAGCACGTTTTATCATTCAGAAGACAAGTGTTTATGTTTCTGAATGAACCTGAGTTGAATGTTTCTTTCAGATTGTGGCATCTTTAAAAGCCTTGACGTTAATCGATTTCTGAATATTATAATAATATCGCCCTTTGTTATCTATGTCCCACTTTTTCTGCCATGATTCTCTCACTTTTGTTTTAATTAATGATTTGGCCTCACCTTTACCAAATGGGACTTTCATTATTTCCTCGTCCTTTAATTTCAGTGCATTCTTTGCAGTCAAATCTGCTATCTCATTGCCCTCCACGCCAGTATGAGCTGGAACCCAACAAAACTGAAGATTAATTCCAATTCTCTCTATATTTAACATTATCATGGATATCTCTTTATATAAATCCTCTCTTATGGTTTCAGTTGAATTCAAACTATTAAGAGCTGCAACAGTCCGAACGGATAATAACTCTTTGAGGTCTTACTTCTACTTACTACTTCAGCTGTAAATACAGATAATTTGTCATTAATTCTTTTGCATATGGTTACATCAAACTCTGGTATGTACACTCCTACTCCTACATGATCATTCCTTGAATCTTTAGATCCATCAGTGAATATTGGTATATACTGATAGTAGTTCTGCTTAACATATTCCTGAACCAAATATCCAATATTATCAGCGTTCCTTTCAGTCCATTCTTTCTTTAGTTCTAAAAGTTTCAAGTCTACATTGGGGACTGGAAATATCCATGGAGGAACATTACCCCATACCTATTTGGGCCATACTCAAATCTCTTTAAACCATATTCTTTCACTACTGTATTAATATTCCAACCGAATCCTTTACCTTTTCGTTCTTGCAAATACTCCCAGCAATCACATAAGACTTCTGTAGCCGGTTGTTCTTTCCCAGATCCTTTTAAAGCTGTCCCAATATGTCAGTGACAGCTTTATCCGTCTTAAGTATAGTGGTAATTCTTTAGTTTCTACAAGTAGCGCATTAGTAGGAGTTGTTTTAATAGCACCAATACTAAGCCTAAGAGCTCTGAACTGTATTCTGTCTAGTTTTTCCAGGACACTCTTAGCCGCTGCTCCATATACCATACACCCATAGTCAATACATGATCTTATTAATGCCCTGTATATATCAAGTAATGACTGTTTATCTGCACCCAATCATATCCCCAAACTGATCTCATAAGATTTAGTACTTTAATACATTCAGTTTCAGTCTGTTTAACATGTGTCCTCCATAGACATTTCTCATCAAACCATAAACCTAAATATTTGAACTTTGTTACCCTTTCCATACTTTAACCATATAGTTTGAGCTGTATATTTCCTAACTTTCTTCTCCTGGTAAAGAGCGAGTTGTTTTAATAGCACCAATACTAAGCCTAAGAGCTCTGAACTGTATTCTGTCTAGTTTTTCCAGGACACTCTTAGCTGCTGCTCCATATACCATACACCCATAGTCAATACATGATCTTATTAATGCCCTGTATATATCAAGTAATGACTGTTTATCTGCGCCCCAATCATATCCCGAAACTGATCTCATAAGATTTAGTACTTTAATACATTTAGTTTCAGTCTGTTTAACATGTGTCTTCCATAGACATTTCTCATCAAACCATAAACCTAAATATTTGAACTTTGTTACCCTTTCCATACTTTGACCATATAGTTTAAGCTGTATATTTCCTAACTTTCTTCTCCTGGTAAAGAGCATGTAACATGATTTAGCAACTGACATCTTAAATCCCCAGTCATATGTCCATCTTTCAATTCTTATCATGGCATTCTGAATATTATTAATCATATGTCTAATATTTTTCCCTCTTTTCCATATAGCCCCATCATCTGCATATAATGAATACCCAATACCTGTACCAACATTCTCAAAGATGGCATTTATCATGATGTTAAACAGAATTGGGCTATTAGCACTACCTTGCGGAATACCATTTACTATATTAAAATCATTTGAAACATCATCTCCAACTTTAACACGACATGTCCGATTTGATAAGAAGCCGAAAATCCAGTTATACATCCTTCCACCAATACCCATATTATGTAATTTAATCAGTAGTCCTTCTCTCCACATTGAGTCATATGCTTTCTCTATATCAAAGTGTACATATGCCACATTTTGGACGAATAAATCAAAAGTAGGTCAGTACACTTGAATCAAAACACGATATGGACTAGTGTCTTAGAATATTAAGCCGCAAAAAGACAATATATGAATCTGATATGGATCAGAGTAATCAATGCGAGAGAGAGAATAGTGGACTGTGGAAGCGCACAGGTGGAGCAGAGAAGCAAAACTACTGTTCAGGGTTTCAAATACATGTCAGTTTCTTCTGTAAATATGCTATTGTAGTTTTGTCTTTGTTTACTTAGTTAAGCAGCAGCAGCCCATTGCACCAGCAGCAGCCCATTGCTCATCAGTCATCACTCAAAATACTGTATAAAGGACATCATTATTATCTACTGTAATGTTACAGTAGTAATTTAGCAGACAAATAATCATATTTTATAATAGGTTTAGGGGTAGCTAGGACAGACAACAACACAAGACTTACGAAAATTAACGATGATTTTACTATAAATCCAGAGACAATGGTTACTATTGTGAAACCATGGTAACCACAAATTAACCATGTTTTTTGCTAGACTAACCATGGAATTTGTAGTAAAAATAAATACAAAT